TCCTCAAAGCTTGTATATAAGTATTGATAAATATTGGGCTGAGAGCTGATTAACTTATGGCCTTAGAACAGTCTCTTGAGGATGACATAATTTCACAAATATTTATTCTTTTCCACCTGGGCACTCAGCTTCTCATATGTCTACCTAATTATTTTATCATTTCATAAGTAACCAGAGATGTTATCAAATATTGCTCAATGAAAATTTACCATATTCTTCATATCTAAAATCTAACTTAATTCTGACTCTGTTGAAATGAATTTATATCTAATTTATTTAATTTATCATCAGTTTATAATGTTCCTTGGCCAAATAGCCTTACATATTCTCTAAAGTCATCAGGAATGAGTCTCTGTTACACAACAGTATGGATAACACAGATTATACATATATTGGTGAAAACAAGGTGTGTATTATATATGTCTAGCATTTTGATAACATTTCTTCTCTGTGAACTCAAGAATCAAATAGCATGTTTGTGGCTAATATCCACCCTCTTTTATTGTATACAACAGAAAAGCTACTTTCCCTAACCTTGTTAATTTTTGAAAGCCCTGACTTATTTGTATATTTGACTATTAGATGATATTCCTGTAAATTTAACTCAATTTAACACATGAGATTTCACCATAAATTTTTGTCTTTATAAGTCAGGAAATGAAAACTTATTTTAAATGATGAGAGACAGCAAGTGACTACATGAAGAAGGATAAATGGGAGAATTCAGTATTTATTTATTAATTTATTTAGAGACAGGGCTTGTCTGTGTAGCATTAGAGCCTGTCCTGGAACGCAGTCTATAGAACCAGGCTTGCCTGGAACTCACAGAGATCCACCTGCCTCCACTTCCTGGGTGCTGAGATTAAAGGCATGCTCCACTGCCACCCAGCTAAGTATATATTTATTATAGTATATTATATATATATATATGTATATATACATATATAATTATATATATGTATATTAGAAAATCCCTACTTAACTAGAGTTCTTTGTATAAATTTGATAATTTAATATCATTTATGATAAAGACTATATGTCTAAAATCTGACAGGTATACTTTTTTGTTTTCTTATTCTTTTAGGTAATGGAATGAAAGACTACTAGTAAAAATAAGATTGCTAGGAAAACTTATTTTCTAATGGATATGATAAAATATGATCTCTAGGAGAAAAAGTGGGTCCTTTTATGTTTCAAATGGAATTTAACATCCTCTCTTCATCTCTTTGTGTTATTCTTTGACAATATTGTATGTATCTATTTTGAATTAGGGCACTGTTGTCCCCTCTCTGGCCTCCTGTCTCCTGATGAAACTCTACTTCTTCTGAATAACCCTCTCCTACTTTAATGTCTGGTTTTATTATTTTTTTTAGGCTCACTGAGTTTAATGATGGCTTCTTGAATGAGGTTGAGCCTAGTCTACTTAATGGAGCATAGGCAAATCATCAGTGGATACAAGACAAGCACTCACTACCTGCACAGCGTCTCTCACTCGCCCCCATCCTCAGGCATGAAGAGATGGTGATGTGTCCATTCTTGTACAGGTCTTTACAGTGAGTTCGTGAGCTCAGTGGCTTTGTCATGTCCAATTTACCCAGTTTTATAACACTCTTTCCCAACCTCTAGTTCTTACAGTCCCTTCAGTCCTCTTCTATAATATTCCCTGAGTCTGGGATAGTGTAATATAGAGATGTCCAGTTTATAGTTCAGAACTCAACTTTGATGAGGTATGAATCTCCCCTGATAAAATGGAGCTTCACTGACCAAGGCTGAGAAACACTGATCTTCGGGTTTAGACAGGAATATTAAGAAGACAGTGTGGAAAACATGACTGAAGAGAAAAGAGCAAACCACAAAGATGAAAACTGTAAAGAGAAAGACTGGCAACATTTTTCTTCACCAGCAAATAGTGGTGGGTAGACACTGAGGACTGTGACCTCAGTCCTCAGAGGCTACCAGGTGTCAGTGGTCTGAATCTCCCAAGATTCACAGCATGCAATCAGTGGCATACATAGTGATATGAGGGAGAGAGAGAGCATCGACACAGAACAAAAGCAGGAGGCGGGTATAGGAGAAGCATTCATGCTTACAGTTGACCATCAGGGCTTTAATGGGAAAGTCGTGGCCTGTCACATTTCTTCATTAGGATTGTATGTAACTGACAATAGAAATATGTTTATTTAAAATCATGCCACATTCTGCTTCTATGCTTTGATGTTATGAGTCATACAAGTGTGTGCTTGTCAATCTTAGGAAACAGGATATCCATGAGCTTAAAATGCCTATTTATTTGTATTTCTAACAAAAATAGTGATTATTGTTGCACATGAAAATAAATTGTCTCAGATTAACAAGTGAAAGACTTTTCACTGAAGCAATAAACACAGAGGAAAAGCACAAAGTGCCTGCCTTGAACAGCCAGGTGTCATTGTGTTGTCACTTACTGCTGGGGACAAGTGACTTTCAATCCATAAATCAGAGAATGTCACAGCAAAATTTAAAAATATTGAGAGTCAAACTCACTATGTACCCAAGGGTTTCCTTGAAACTCTGATTCCCCCTACTTCTACCTGGAGTGCTGAGTTTGCACTGTGTAACCATGCCCACATGAAAGACCAGATTTAACTACAAATGCCTGTATTGCATGGTGTGGGTCATATGATGGAAAAGTAAACAGGGTATGGGACAGTGTCAGGTAGAATGAATATGTAAGGCTTTTCCAGTTATTAGACACTAACTGACTTCTTTTAGTTGGAGGTGATGCCATTTGCATTAAGCAGGGGATGAGTCCTGATTAATCTGGAAAAAAAGATACGGCTTTACTCTTTTGAACTAATGCATTTCTGAGACTTTACACAGTAAATGAGCACAGATGATATCTGTTCAGGATATTAAATGATGGCAAGAGTGACAGGGAATGTCCTTCTGTATGCTGTGAATGTATGTTTCTCTTATTGGTTGGTGAATACAGCTATTTAGCAAATGGGCAGGCAGGATGTAGCCAGGTAGGACTACCAGGCTAGGAGAATTATGAGAAGAGGAATGCAGAGAGTAACCAGGGAGATGCCATTTAGCCACCGAAGGAGTAACATCCCAGAGCCTTACGGGTAAGCCACAGCCTCATGGCAAAACATAGTTTAGTTAGAAATGAGTTAAAAATTAAGAAAGAGCTATCCAATAAGAAGTGTGAGCCATCAGCAGAACAGTTTAATTATAATAAACCTTCGTGTGTTTATTTGGGGGCTAAACAGCTGCAGGACAGGACAGAAACTCCATGTACACAATAATCCGTGAAGTGCATAAAACAATGGCAAATCATAAGTACTATATAGGTTTTCCATAGCATTTCTAAAACGCAAATGGCTCATACTATTCTGAAAGTTCACAGGCCTTCAGAATTTAGTGTTACTTATCAGAGAAGGCATAACATCCTGAAAAATTTCAATATGACATATGCTGGGGCAAGTGAAATATCTCAGTAGGTAAAGGTGCTTGCCACTGAGCCCAACATCTTAACTTTGATTCCTGTGAACTACATTGTGGAAGAGAGAACCAACTCTCTCCAAAATTGTACTGTGACCTCCACATGTGTACCGTGACGCACATGTACACACACAAACACACACACACACACACACACACACACACACACACACACACACACACACACACACACTGATCACAACAGATTTTATAAAGCACAGTATCTCTTTGCTGAGACATATATTGTTAACAATCTACTAATATGGATATTTTTATTTTGTTTTGTTTCTGTTTTTACAATGACATCAATTTTGTTCTAGCCATCCTCCCTACTTTGTCCCAACTGCATCCCTCAATTGCTCCTTTGAATAAGTGGGCTACCAATGAGATCATATTAGAAGTTTCTGTGGGGACATTCATTTAGAAACACAACCTGTGCCCTAGCATTGTTTTTCCATCTCCATCTGTCTGAGACGAGCATTGATACCATGTTCCAGGGTGGAAGCTGTGCAGATACAGAAAGAGTGATGACGAGGGCTTTCCCTGATACTGGGTTCTGGGGAGACCTGCAGAAATCTGTAAGTGCCCTGCATCATCTGTGAAGACGAGAAGATTGCACAGTGTTGTCAACACTTCACCCATGCATTCATGAAACAGTTTACATTCGACATCACTCCTAGTCTCCAAGAATCTTTCTTCTGATGCTCTATTTTTTCCCCACACATATGTGGTCTGATTTTACTAAAAGGCTTTTCCCTTTCCAAGGTTCATCTTATATTACTGTCTGTTTTCCTATTCATAGTACATTAAGTATTCTGTAAGGTAATTTTGCATCCTTCCTTTCTTTCACTGAACCACCCTCAGGCTTTATGACAAAATACCTTGTGTCTATTATTTATTGTCACTGCCCTTTCCTTCCACTGCCTTTATAGAATTACCCCAGGGTATCGCCATCTGTTCCTGTGGGATTGCTTAGCAAAGGGATAAACAATGGTGCTTTTAAAGTTTTCTTTATGGTACTTGTCTTGCAGACTTTTAGAAATTATATAGCTTTGCCACACATGATAAGGATCTTTGAGAATTCTGAAACATTTGATATCATCCATTGTGGTTCATTTTTATTATCAACTTGACACAATCTAGAATCAGCTGGAAGAAAATTCCCATGGAGATTTTCTCAATCGGCTTGGCCTGTGGGTGTGTCTGTGGGGCTGGTGTCTTGGTTAGGTTGAAGCACAAAGGCATGTGTACCATAATTGGCGCCGTTCCTTAAGAAGAGGACTCTGAGCTAAAACACTAGTGGAGAAAGTTAACTCGGCAAAGCATTTATGCATTGATTTCATGCTGTTTGCCCTTGACTGTAAATATAACACGACTAGCTGCTTCTTCAAGTTCCTGCTGCCTTTACTGCTCCCTCATGGTGGACTGGAACCTGGAATTGGAAGGTAAAGCCTTTGTCAAGCTGTTCTGTCAGCAACAAGAAGTGACTCATCAACACCTTTATTTTGTTTTCACAGATGAGATGCACTCCTGCTGACTTTAAACATTCTGCTGACTACAGAAAACACATTTCCTGTCTTTCATACGAATTAAAATCAAAAGATATTGACAGAAAACCACAAACACCAAGCCATCCCATTCAGAAAGGTTGGTATGTTTCAATGTGAACAAAACAAAGCAATAAGAAATTTGGCACACTGATTTTGAACTATAAACACTGGACTCAAAAATACATGTTGAGACATTTGACAAAATGTACATCAATTGGAGTTTGAAGAAGTCTTCATGGGCAGGAGCACTTTTTCTCTTCTAGAACTGGATTCTAGCTATCCCATCTCACTGCTGCAGGAACTTGCAGCCCGAGGGGAATCTGATGCCCTCTTTTGGTCTCGGCAGGCACCGTACACCCTTGCCATTTTATTTGGTAAAAACAGCTGGTTAACTCTATCCAGAGCTGAGAGTTTTATGACTGAATCTATAGTCTGTTTCTTTTAACTTGGGATCTGATTATTTTTCTGTACAAACACATCACATCATTTTTAATAAAAACTTGTTTTGCTTCTTCTTTTACGGAAAGTTTTCTAAAACTACCCCCCCCCCTTTGCTGAGATAAACACTGTTTTCCCAATTGTCTCTTTCATTGAAGAATTGTGTAAACTCACTGTACTGCCCAGGCCAGCCAGGCTTCATGTCCTAGACTCAAGTGATTCTTCAATGTCAACTTACTACCTGGCACTGTACTTGTATACTATTGTGTCCAGGCTCAGAAAGTGGCAATTTTGATTATTTTAAATTTACTTTCATTTTCATTTTTTATATGTTTTGGTGATTTGTAGGTATATATGTCTTGCACCACTTGCATGCCTGGAACCCACAGACATCAGAAGAGGTTGTAGTGTTCTAGAAAGACTTATATAAATCAAAATACTCTACTCTACATGGCCTCTTAAGTGCTGGTCTTACAATTGTTGTCTTCTTGCTTGAATAATAGTTGGGCATCTAGCTGCAGAGAAGGAGGAGTGATAAGCAAAGAGGTCCAGACCAGGCTGGTGAAACCCACAGATACAGCTGGCCTGAACAAGGGGGAGGTCTTGGTCCTCCACTGATAGCTGGGAAACCAGAATAGGACTGATCCAGACCCCATGAATATGGATGTCAGTGAGGAGACCTTGAAAATCTATGGGGCCTCTTGTAGTGGATCAGTACTTTTCCCTAGCATAGGTATGGACTTTGGGAGCCCATTCCACATAGAGGGATACTCCCTGAGCCAAGACACACGGGGTGGGCCTAGGCATCATGATGAGTACCTTCCTGTATCCAATATGTTAACATGGAGGGGTTGAATCATCCTTGTGGGATCCCATCATCTTTTCTGAGCCTTCAGAAATTGAATTAGGTCAGATTATTCCTTTCCTTGGTAATTTTTTGTGGGTAGTTTCCCTTCTTCTTTGGATGCTTATTTGTCTAAAGGTCTCTAAATACCTTAAGATATTTGTTTTAGCGGATTATTTGTTTTCTTGATATCTACTTTTTGAGTTCTTTATATATTTTAGATATTAGCCATTTACTGGATGTGTTATTGGTAAAAATCTTTCCCATCCTGTAGGCTTATACTTTGTTAGAATGAATGTCTTCTTTGCTGTGCAGAAACTTTTCAGTTTCATGAGGTCCTATTTATTAATCATTGATCTTAGTGCCTGTGCTGTTGGTATACTGTAGTATACACAATAGTCCTCTCCTTGCCAATTTCTTTAAAGGCTGTTTGTAATGATAAGTCTTTTCACCAACCCGCCTGAGTTCTGCCCACCATGTTCAGGCCCCACATAACACACAGAGAATTATGTAGGTACAAATGCTGCTGGCTAGTTGACTAGGATTTCTTATGTGCTAGCTCAGTCTTAATTATCATTAATCTATATATCTTATAAGACTTAACTTATCGAGGAGGAGGAAGAACCTCTTCCCAGGATCACATGGCAGCTCTGCAGAGACAAGGAGGAAGAGCAAGAGGATGATTTCCTTCTTGTCCCTGCTCTGAGTCTGCCTGCTATGTCACATCCTGCCTTACTACATTTCCCAGAATCCTCCTTGACTCCTAGTCCCACCTATCTTGCTTTCCTATTGGCCAACAGTGCTTTATGTATCAACCAATAAGACAAAGATATACACAGAAGGACCTCCCCCATCATCTCCTCTTTTCTGTCTAAATAAAAAGAAGGGTTTTCATTACCATTTATAACCAACCTTATTTAAATAAAAACAAACATTTATAAACAATATTTGGGAATTTGGGCATCGTTCATTTCAAACTGCTTCCTGCTGGTTGGGGGCGATATCCATACCATGGGGATCCTGATAAAACACAGAAATCTGGCCGTAGTCATCTATGACAGCATCATCTCAGCTGTTTTGAATGTAGGATCAGTTGGGCCACTGCCTCAGGAGGTCTTGCTTGATCAAACCATATTAGTCTGGAAGGAATACAAAGCTTTTCATTTTCTGTGTAAACAAAAGCAGAAATTCTTTTTCCAAGTAGTCTCTCCTTAGACTTAAATTTTGAAGTCAAAGCATTTTTAAAGTGTATAAATTGGATTAATTTAGCAGCATTTATAATCAAATGTATTTTAGCAGCTGTAACTCTTTCCTTGGCAATCAAATAATTTAAAGACAATATAGTATATAGTATCCAGACTATTTGTGCATTTTCCGTGTTTATATGGCTTTTTTATTAATCTAATTCTTTACTTTTATTTTTTCCTCTTATGAGACAGGGTTTCTCTGTGTAACTTTGGCTGCCCTTGAATTCACTCTGTACAGCAGGCTTGCCTTGAGTCACAGAGATCTGCTTGCCTCTGCCTTCCAAGTGCTGGGATTAAAGGCATGTGCCACCACACCCAGATACTCTAGTTCCTTCTTTCTTTTAAACACATCGTAAACCTTTAGATGTTTTTCTTCATCTGATTCTGTCTTTATTGTAAATCTTTACCATTTTCTGCCCATGCAATCTTTTAGCTATTAAACAGCACTGCCAGAATTAAAATGGTGGCTTTCTTAGCTGCTGTCTTTCCAAGATGGTGGAGGTAACTTTACCACCAGTTGTGAGAGCTGTGCTCACTGTCTTGGTCTATGCTACCACCAAAAAGCATGCTGCTGGCTTGGAGATGTGGTCACTGCCACTGCCAAATACGTGGGGCACGAACCCATGAGATTAGGAGTCTCATGCTCTACCAGCTGAGCTACCGGGGCTTCTTAAAAAAGAGCCCTGCAGTTTCTGCTGTTTATGCTGAGCCAGGAAGCCTCTCTTAAAGGAGCCGCTGGAGTCTGTGCTTGTCTCTAGCAAACCAGAGCCCACCCGAGAAAATGCTGCTACCAAGAAGTCGTGCTTTTCTCTGTTCTTTTGCTTCTAAAATCACTTTTTAAGCTTTTGTTAAGTTTACGTGGAAGTTCGTAACACTACCGCCAGCTGCCCGGGTTCTGCCACCACTTGACTAGTTACAGGAAGGCAGCTTGCAGAGCCTGTTGGCTAGTGGCTCACGGTGCCTGGTGGCAAGTGGCTTGCATCAACTGGCATCTCACGGTGGTGAGAGTGTCGAATCCTAACCCCTGGAACTCTCAGAGCACTGCAGGCCATCTCAGGAGTGCCCAGGCCACCCTCAAGTGCACAGGACAGTGCCGGCATATGGAAGCTGCTCAGATGCCGTGCAGAGGCTTGACAGGGCTGGCTGTGGCAGCAGGTTCTTTGCTTCCACTGGGAACCTGGGGCGTGGGGTGATCCCACTTCTGACATCATTCTGTTATGATAAGTCTTTCTGTTGAAGCCACCAGAGCCCTGCCACCACATGGGTGCTTTCCACCAGGTCACCTGAGTCCTGCCCCCTGCCACGTTAAGGTCTCAAGTAACACACAGAGACTTATTTTAGGTACAAATGCTGCTGGCCAATTGACTAGGATTTCTCTATGCATCTTATAAGACTTAACTTATCAAGGATGCCTTCCGCTGGTGTCCTCTTCCTGGGATCTCATGGTGGCTCCACAGAGAGAAGGAGGAAGAGCAAAAGGATGATTTCCTTCTTGTCCCTCCTTATATTCTGAGTCTGCCTGCTATGTCACATTCTGCCTGGATCTCATTACTACATTTCCCAGAATCCTCCTTGAGTACTGATTTCACCTATCCTGCTTTCCTATTGGCCAGCAGTACCTTATTTATCAGCCAATAAGACAAACATATGCACACAAGGACCTCCCTCATCGCCTGTTCTCCACTTTCTCTTCTGTCAGGTGTAGTATATCTGGTTTTATGTCGAAGTCTTTGATCCATTTGGAGTTGAGTTTTGTTTAGGGTGATATGAGTAGCTGTATTTGGATTCCTCTATGTGTAGCTGTCTAGTTTAACCAGCACCCTCTGTTGAAGTTGCTGTCCTTTTCCCAATTGTGTATTTCTGGCTTCTTCATAAACTATCTTGTATCCATAGGTGTATGGATTTACGTCTAGGTCTTCATTTGATTCCACTGATATATATATATATCAGCTGTAAAGAAACCAATTCTCAACTCTGATAGGACGCTCCAGCTGTTGCATAAATGGTATTCCTGAGAGCATGTCGTATTCAGAATGTAAGGTCACAGGGTTAATTATTTGAAGGTCGTCTTGACAAAGTGCCTGTGGTCATGTAAACACAGTCTCCAGTTACCTTCCCCATTGCATCCGCACCGTCCATCTTTTTCCAGGTCTACTTCGATTCTGAAGTGAAGTGTCTGAGGAATTTTTGTTTCCATTTTCTGCTTCTAATATTTTCTCTCCAAATTAATCTATCATATCTAACTAATTTCAGCTCACTTGTCTGCACATGATTTTAATAATCCTCTTGCTGTAGCCCTTACTTGTTTGTTTGAATGGTGAACAATAGTTTGGAATCTAATGGCAACTAGATTTCTTCAGATGAACAATTAGAATGCTTGCACATATAAAACTAGAAGTCTTCCTTTTAAATTTAGCATTAGGACAAACAATGCTGTGGTTTGTATTTACAGCTATATAATAATTCAGATGTCTTTGCTTGTAATGTTACTGGCAGTAACAGAGAGGGATAAGATCACATGGAAATCAATTGACTATATTTGGAATTATTTTGTAAGTAACCAATATT